TCAGCAAAGCATCTAGTATTGATCTGGGCGCTTGTAATGCTTATGCTAGACTTCCTCCAGAACCCAACAATCATGGTTTGGTCAGGCCTCAGGCAATACACAAAATAGTAACTAAAGAATGACCTTTTCCACAGGGAATAGGTCCATAGATGAAGGGGCCAAGAACCATCCATTGTTCCCAACACCCTGGAAGAGGACCCTGGCTGGGAGTCAAAGGCCATTCTTGGAGGCTGAAGCAGGAGGATTGCAAGTTTTTATTTTCCAGACAGGGCCTCACTAAGCAGTTCAGACTGGCCTTGAACTCGCTATGTAGTCCAGGCTGGCTTTGAACTCACGATGATTCTCCTGCCTCAGCCTCTTGAGTGCTGTGTGCCACCACACCTGGCCTGTTACCATTTCCATTTTATAGCAGAGGAAACTGAGGTACAGCGGGCATCAGAAGCTCGGCTTTTCACTCCCAGGCCAGCACTCCCTGAAATGAAGGTTTGCAAGTTTGAGTCTCATCTATCCTCCCACTGGAATGTGGACTTGGAGGAGAGGACCTCTTCTGGCGCACACAGAGGCATTTAATGGACATGGTGGGATGAGTCGATCTCTTGGGCCACATGCCATCTTGACTGGCTGCGACGCCCTCCCTGCAGGGCTCTGCTCTGGGAACTCTACGTGAGACCAGGGCTTCCAATCCCAGGCAACACAACCCTCACAGCAGTACCAGAAGGAAAACACCTGCTTAGACCATCTGGGCCCAGGGGTAAAAACCCACGCCCTGCAGGGTGCGCACACCACCTGGCAGCACAGCACTGCTAAGGCCGCGTTCCAGGGACAAAAACCTTTGGTTGGGACAGGGTGAGATTGGTGCCTGAAACTGAGGGATGGCCCGCCACTGACCGGCAATTGTCTGAAAAATCACTGTGCCGTGCTGGGGATCCAGACCGGTGGATTCCAAACTTTTCCGACCATGTTTCCAGGTAAGAAACCATTTCATGCGAACATAATTTCACAAAATGATATCACCGCAAATGGGAAGGGGACCACGACATGGAGGGAAGGGTGGGCAGCGAGGGGAAGGGGCCATAAAAAGAAGTAATACCGCTGAAGTCTAACGGTTTATTGAAAGGAACAGTGAGTGCCTAATTTTTTTGCTTTTTGACCAGTTTTGTACGCTTATATCTGGCAATCTGGTTTTGGTTTTTTTTTTTTTTTTTTTGGTTTTTTGTTTTTCTTCCGGTACCAGGAATTGAACTCATGACTTTGTGCTTGCCAGGCAGGCGATTTGCTGCTGAGCTAAATCCCCAGCCCCCTATATCTGGCAATCTGAACAACTAATTTGAAAACAGTAATATGCAACGTACCAACCATTGGTGAACTCCTACCATCTTGTCTAGTGAAACTCAGTATCGTTTCTAATGGTTTTCTTTTGTTTTTATGTTTTATTCTCTTTAATGGTTTGATCAACCTCTCATTCTTACATCTGGTAACCTGAGCAACTTAGTCTAAGACAACAATATGTAATATAACAATCACTGTTAATTCCTATCATTTTGTTTTGAAACACTGGATCATCTTTACTGTGTTTGCTTTGTTTTGTTTTTGTCTATGTTGTTGGTATTTTGCTATTGTTCTTTTTTTTATTATTCTCTTTAATGTAATAAAAAAAAAAGAATTAAGACATCTTGTGTCCAGGTACTAACACTGTCCAATGAGTGTTATCATACGCACAGTGAACGTGTACAAATAAAAATAAGAATTGCTTTTCAGATGATGCTGCCCTGTTCCGCTCTATCCTACGACCACCTTTAAATGACCTCCTGGCTCATCTAGGGTGTTTTCCTTCAATGCTCTTCATTATTTCTGCTGGCAAAGAATGATGGACAAAGGGTTGGCGTCCACTTCGCTTCCCTCAAAGACACCCCCACCTCGCAGGCTGCTGCCACACTCACTGGGGGCTCTGATTTCAGGATGAGGAACTGGGCTCAGAGAAATTAAGACCCTTGTCCAAGGCCACACAGTGCGGATGCCCCAGGGCCGGTTCCTGCCTCACTCCTGGAGGAACAAACCCTAAAAGTCCCTAATCTCACTGCTATCGAGGAAAATCTGTTTTAATCCCCTTTGGCCCATACGACTGAGTGGCAACTCTCTTCTGTAACAAAACAACCTGAGGAGGGGATGCTGAGCCTGTGATAGGTGACAGCTGCTGTCACCAACAGCATCACCTTCAGCCCATCCTCACCATCCCCCCACTACTACCTCCCATCCCCAAACTCAAGAAAGTGAGTGCAGACCCGAGACCTCAGAGCCCACTGTCTGCCTCCAAAGTGGCCTCATTAACCACCCACACCCGTCAGCACCAGGATGGCTGTTCTCAACATGGTCACCAACATCACTATCACCAACACCACCCTCACCGCCTCAAAGCAGGTATCCGGACACCAGCCTTCATGCTTCTGGTCACCCTTTGTTTTTCCCAATCACTCTGTCTGTCTCCCAGACCTATATTCTTGGGTGCTCTTTCCGCCGTGCACCAGGAGGAGGCCAGGAAGTGCCGCCATGTTGGGAACCAAGAGGAATCTCAGTTTGATTCTGTAGCTTCTCCATTATGGCCTCATGCCGGGCATGGTGGCGCACACCTGTATTCCCAGCACTCAGCAGGCTGAGGCACAACCATCACTGCAAGTTTAACACCAGCCTGGGCTACAAAGTGAGTTCAAGGCCAGCCTGAACTGCATAGTGAGACCCTGTCTCAAAAAAGACCAAAAAAAGTGCTAATATGGCCTCAGATGTACCTATGCATGAAGCCCCAGGAACGCAGAGGACGTCTGCATCGAGCAGGTCCAGGACCCTTGAGGTGCACAAGAGCTGAGGGGGGCCTGCGTCCCTGCTGCTGCAGCAGCTGATGAGCCCAATATGGGGCAGGCAATGGTATCTGAGGTCTCTGGTCCGCGGTGCTCACCTTTCTACATTGGGAGGTTGGGAAGAGGAAGTGACTCTGGGACAGTGTTGGGTGGGTGTTCACCACTCCACTCCACCCCAAGATGAGATCTGCTGGGCCGCAGAGGAGGAAGAGGGAGCGGCCGCTCCACTCCAGCAGCTGTGACCCAGGAGAGCTGCCATTTCCATCTCCTTCTGAAATACATTTGTTTAATTTCTTGTTCACTCTTCTGTCCCCAGAACCTGGTACAATCCATGGCACATAGGAAGTCCTCTATAAATATTCCTCAAATTAATGAAGAAAGAGATGGAGATGGAGATGACCCACTCCTCCACAGCTCTACGGAGGTTTCTGAAATTAATTCAAAGTATTTGGTTGGGTGTGATGGCACTCACCTGTAATCCCAGCACTAGGGAGACTGAGGCAGGAAGACTGCAATGAGCTCAAGGCCAACCTGGGCTACACAGAGAGTTCAAGGCTGGGCTGAATGACATAGTGAAATCATGTCTTAGAAACAAAAACAGAGGATGGGGATATAGCTCAGTGGTTCAGTAGCTGCCTAGCAAGCATGACGTCCTGAGTTCCATTCTCAATATCCCCCCAAAAAAAAATATTTGATAAAAAGTAGAAGAGAGGAATTTGCCCCACCTACCCCCACCCCCATTCCCACCCTACTTCTAGTATGGGGATTGAACCCAGGAAGTGCTAAACTATATCCTCAGCCCCTTTTTATTTCATATTGACATAGGTTCTTACTAAGTTGCCCAGGCTGATTTTAAAGCTGACAATCCTCCTGCCTCAGCTTCCCATGTCAACAGCATACAGACATATACCACCACACCTGGCCAGGCAGGAACTGTAAAAACATATTCATCTTGTGCCCTAGAGATGTGGGAAAATTAACTCATCCCAGCCTTCTTGGTCCCTGGGTGGTTCACTCAGACTGAGTCAAAGCTCAGGGTTTATTAGGATACTTCGGAAAGCCCTGAGGACACGACCTCATTGTCAGTGCAGGCACACATCAGGGCAGAGTTACACAGCCATGATTTAACCGGGACAACTACACACGCTGCAACGAGGCATGTAAGAATGTAAATAGGTGGTAACGACCTGTATAAAAAATATAAAGATGCAGGTGGCTCTTGCACTCTGCTCTGCTCCATGCTGCCTGCTGCTGCCGTCTTCAACATGTGCATTCTTTAACCTTCAGACCTCACCCTGGACAATCTCCTTGGGGCCCCCCAAGTGGGCTGACGGGTGTTCATAAATGTTAGACCTGACACTGTAACAAAAAGGCTTTCTAGGATGCCAAAAACTCTAAAAACTGTGCTCGTGGCCCAGGCTCCCTCCCCAAGAAAGTTTTGATCCTTATGCACTGTCCCACTTAATCGTTTGCTGCCCTCTAGATGACATCCCTGAGTGTAAACTGTTTGAACACAGAGATGTCTCGTCAGCTCTTTCTTTTTTTTTTTTTTTTGTTTTTGTTTTTGGTTTTGGTTTTGGTTTTTCTCCAGTACCGGGAACTGAACTCATGACCTTGCACTTGCCAGACAGGTGCTTTGCCACTGAGCTAAATCCCCAGCCCCTTTTCTCATATGCATTATTAAAGCCCATGACTCCAAAAGACTGGGTGTTTTACAAGGAGAACTAAGGAGCACTGTCTGACTCAAGTCAAAAAGGTCACCTGGACCACAGGTGGCTGAACTTCAGGGCTGGCTGAGCGTGGAAGGCAGCGACACTTGCCGGGCCCACAAACAAGTGCTAACCCCACCCTGAGTCAGATTTTGAACTCTCCTGTCTTCTGAAGGCATTCTGACAGAGTCTGAATGAGAAATGAGTCTTTGCTTGACCAGTATTGCATGTCTATATCTGTTTTCATGAGAAGCCACTTTGAAGATATCAATATGTAATACAACCACCATTGTTAATTCCCTACCACTTTGTTTGTAACTCTGTATTGTCTGTATTGTGCTTGTGATATGTTGTAAAATGTTGTATGTCTGTTAATGTTTCCCTCCTTTTATCTTTAAAATTTAAAAAAAAAAAAAGAAATTGGGTACTTGAGAAAGAATATATTTGGAATACTTTATTTGCTTTAAAAACTTTCTTCCTGTAGTCCCACTACTTATAATTTTGTCTTGATAAAGGCTAATTAATCAAAGATGGGCAAATCAGAGGTTCGTTTTCTTGTGTTTTGTTGTTTGACCAAGGATGGGGTCCAGGACGTTCGCACTGAGCTGTATCCTTATTCACACAGCACTCACAGTCTTGGGGTGTCAGAGAGGTTTCAGCAGACAAGATGTGATTGGGTGTAAATACTATGCCATTCCAAGTAAGAGACTTGCACATTTGTGGGTTCTGGTATCCACAGGAGTTATGAAACTAAACCCCTCCAGATACCAAGGGGTGAGTGTATTTATAATCAGACATTTTTGAATGCTTACTATGCGCCAGGCTTTATGTGTCATCAAGTCATTTTATTCTCACACAAAAAGAAAACCTCCCTGAAGGTACGTACTGTTACCACTCATTTTGAGGGGAATCAGACTCAAAGCATCACCTTCCTGAGTCAGGAGGGTGAATCAATTATCTGGATTGTTTGGCAGGCATTTGGCCTGACTCAGCTTCAGAGAAGAGTCATCCACAATGTTCTAAGCCCCCATCCCAAGCCCGCCCCACTAAGGACAGGAACAAGGTCGGCTTTGCCTCTGACCCTGCAGCTGTTGCCTGCAAATATCCCTTCCTCCTCCCAGACACGAGGAAACACGGCACTCCCTCACCCAGCCACCCTCTGGAGCTGAGGCACGGTCAAGCGACCTTCGGTTGATAAATGTGAATAAAGGAGAGTGCGTCACATCCAGTCGACGCTCCAAGAGTCACTGCCTGCTTTGCCGTTTTCTGTCTCTTCCAGTGCCAAAGGGACTGGCACCTCTCCAGACGGTGACTGTTCCACTGGCCTGGGGCACACGGGTGACAGGGAGCAGGGCTCTTGGCTGACCCACAATGGGGAAGGAAACCTTTGCTGCTTTAGGGCCACTGATTCTGAGGTTGGTTGTTACCTCAGCATAACCCAGCCTGTCCTGACTGACACGGCTCCCACCAGAGCTGAAAACGTGGAAGACTTAAAAGATGAGTGACTGAATGGCAGAGAACAGGGACAGGGTCACAGATTTCCCTCTGGGCTAGTAGAGGAAGCAGCCATGTCTCAAGCCTCTCACTCATTCCCATTTTGAAGGGAATAAGCCTCAAAGTTCAAAAGGTAGATGATCCATTATCTGCTTAGATTTAGCTTGTAACCAGGCTGGGGTAAACATGGAGCTCGGAGCTTTACCTCCCACGGTCACGGCTCACCTTGTCGGTACAGGGGTCTTGGCGGGTAAGGACCGAGGAGCTACAGAGGCAGGGACGTGAGATGCCGGGAGAGTGGGGAGGTGGGGAGGAGGAGCCAGAGAGGGGGATGCAGAGCAGGAGCAAGGACAGCAGAGGGTTAGGGCCAAGGAGACAGAGATGGGCAACACTGACAAGCAGATGGGAGGAGGTGGAGGGCAGAGAGACGCAGAGGTCTGGGCTGGGAGAAGGAGACAGAGCCCCAAGGCAAAGAGCGAGGCACAAACCCAGAGAAAGCCTGCTGTGGGCCAGGCAGAGCTGCGCCCCTAGGCGTAACCCTGGGAGTCCTTGCTGGAGGAGGTAGGGCCTCTGCTCTCTGTGCCACCTCCAGGGCTCTCTTGGCCTCTGCTAGACTCCACCGAGTCAGTGGAGCCCGGGTGACCTCGGGAGCTCCTGAGACTCGAGGCCGGGCTGGACCCCTGTGCTCTGCCAGTACTGGAGCTGTGCTCCACAAGGGTGTCAAGTCTGGACACCTGGCCTGAGCTGGAGCTGGGAATGCCAAAAGTGACGCGGCTGACGGTGCCAGTGCCATGGCTTTTGCTAGTCCTGTGGCTCAGGATGGACCCAGGGATCCCAGTGGTCTTCTTGGTGCTCCCTCCGACAGAGCCTGTGCCGGACCCCCGCGTGGGGGAGAACCCGGTGCTCAGAGCGCCATCCAACTTCCTCGTGGCCTCGGACAGCTCCTTCTGGCTCTGCTCCTGTGCCAGCTCCCGGAGCTCTACCTGGGGGAGAGGACAGTTGGGGGCCGGTGGTAGCGGTGGTCCTTGCCCAGACCCCAAGCTCCCCACTCACCGACTTCACCACGAGTTGCCGCAGCTCCTCCCTGCTCATGGGGTAGCTGTCCTTCGCCACAAAGCCAGGGGGGTCCTCTCTAAGGCGGAGAGGAAAAGTCTAGATTCGACCTACAAAAGGTCAGTGGTACCTCCCAGACTTCCAGAGCCCCGCGGCCACTCTGGCTCTCTCCCCTCCACACCCCTGGAGCCCCATATTCCCATGCAGTCCCTGGTGCTCCCTGGAAACACCCCCTTCCTCTTCTATCCACCCAGGGCCACCATCAAGGCCCCCAAAACTCTCCTTCTCATGTGCTCCCTGCACCCCACCCTGCCCTGGGCCTCACAGATTGTCAGGGGGCTGCGGCATGTCCATCTTCTTTGGAGGCTCCTCCTGGCTCTGGCCCAGCACCAAGAGCGCAGCGTCGGAATCGGAGGACTGGTTCTGGGAGTGTTAGAGGAGGGGTCGGCTCCGGCCAGCACCCGGCCCGGCGCCCCAGGGCACCCACCATCTGTCCGGGCCCACCTGCATGTTCAGGAAGGCCTGCACGGTCAGGAGCTCCACCAGGCGCTTCTCAATGATGCCCAGGAAGAGACCTATGTCCCGATCCCGCGTGTGGGTCTTGACCCCAAGGAGGTCATCAATGATCTTGCTGTCACAGTGGGCCTTGGTGAAGAGGAGCTGGATGTCTGGGGTCAAGGAGGGACCTGTAGTCAGGGATGTGTCAGCCCAGGCCGCTGCCACCTGTTCTGTGGCGACACAGTCCAGCCCCGGAGGCTCAAAGGGACTCAGCCTGGCTCAGACGGCGAGATACCGCCGTGCACCTAACCTCGGGTCTCGGACGATGTCCCTTGTCACATACCTCAACTAGAAACAAACCCAACCTCCACCTGCCCCAGCAATTCCCCTGCTCAGGATGGCACCCATAGGACACACACGCACATGCACCATCGAGGTGCATAGGGCTGTCTTCACGTCCTAACATCAGACCCCAGGTGCACCTGACCAGACTGGTCACTGTCCTTGCTGACTGGTCAGTGTCATGACTCACACTCACACTGGTCACTGCCTGGCCACCTGCATTTTATTAACTGGCTACTGTTAATAAAATAAGAAGGTGCCCAGGTCCTGGACAGACACCTTCACCCAAACTGGGTCCAGAATCATCTCCATGATTCTGAATGCTGGGCTTTTTTACATTATCTTCATTACATTTTGCGTACTTTTTTTTTTTTTTTTTTTGAGACAGGGACTTACTACATAGTTCAAACTGGCCTTAAACTCACTAAGTAGCTTAGGCTGGCCGAAAATCCTAAATGGTCCTCCTGCCTCAGCCTCCTAAGTGCTGGGATTATAGGAGTATGCCACGAAGCCCAGCCAGAAATGACGTGCATTTTAAAGACTACACGAAGCTGGGCATGGTGGCACACGCCTGTAACCCCAGCACTTGGGAGACTGAGGTAGGAGGATCACTGTGCATTCGAGGACAGCCTGGGCTACATAGTGAGTTCAAGGCCAGCCTGAGCTACATAGCGAGACCTTGTCACCAAAAAAAAGCATATAATTTTTATATTTTAATTTCTTAAGAAAAGCTTCAGGGGCATGGGTAACAACAGCAAACAATTAAAAATTATCTAAATATCCAGCTATAGGGAAATGGGTAACTCTGGGATAGCCATATGGTTAGCCACATTGTTATGGTTTGTTGGGGACCACAAATGATAAATTGAGTCTAGAGGACGTCCTTGTCCTGCACTGTAGGCCAGACTGGAAGGCGGAAACTCTCCGCTCTGCCTTGGTCAAGGCTGAGGTCCCAAGTCTAGGGACGCTGTGCTGCCTACAGGGCGAGGTAAGACCTGCTGGGGCCGACAAGGATCTTTAAACAACATAGTAGCAGCAGTGCAAGTTTCACCTGAGGAAACTAGTTTCCTTATTGTCTGAACCTCGCAAGAATGCTTTGCTTAGTTGGGGATGTGGCACAGCACATGCCTGGCAAGCACAAGGTCCTGAGTTTGATTCCCAGTGCAAAAAAAAGAGAGAACGCTTTGGTCTTTTACTAGCTCACAGTAATTTCCATTACTGTTCTTGAAATCACTTGCTACCCCATCCACTGGCTAATAAGATAGTGGTAAACTAGAATCACTGTCTCTGCCCATCCTGAAGCACTGACCTCCCAGCCCCCCTTTCTGCATTACTAAATTTCTCTCTGTCTCTTATTTCATCCTTCGCTGTATCCCTCATGCAGGCAGTTGGGGATCTTGGCCAGGTCCCCAGCGCGGGTTGAACTGTGTGCCCCAAAATTCATGTGCTGGAGTCCTGGCCCCCAGTACCTCAGAATGCGACTTGATTTGGAAATAGTCATTGGAGATGGATTTAGGTAAGACAGGGTCATAATGGAGGACGATTAGCGCCATTAATAAAGGAGCGTGGACACAGAGGAAAGACAGTGTGAAGAGACACAGGGAGAAGCCAGCAGCAAGCCAAGGAGAGACACCTGGAACAGAGTCACCGCAGTCCTCAGGAGGAACCAACACTCCCAACAACGTGCTATCAGACTTCTGGCCTCCAGACGGTCAGACGATACGTTCCTATCGTTCAAGCCATCCAGTGCGCATCGAATCATTCTTCTGGGGATTTGTTCAATTGTTTGGTGGCACTGCTGGGTACTAAACCCAGGGCCTTTGTGACATATTACACCACCAGCCTTTTTTTTTTTTTTTTTTTCTGAGACAGGGTCTCACCTAGTGACTAAATTGCCCAGGCTGGGCTCAGACTTGTATTCTTCCTGCCTCAGCCTCCCAGAGTGCTACAATTACAGGCATGTTCTACCACGACTCTTTGTGGTATTTTGAGTTTTGTGGTATTTCGGTTTGTGGTATTTTGAGAAGATAGCCCTAGCCGTCAACTAATTTGTAATAGGTTGCAGACTTCCACATGGAAGCTAAAACCATCTTGTCTGGTGGAAAATCCAGAATGGCTTTTTTTTTTTTTTTTTTTTTTAGGTTTTTTTTTTCTTTTGGTTCTTTTCCGGTACTGGGAATCGAACTCACGACCTCGCTCTTGCCAGGCAGGCGTTGTGCCGCTGAGCTAAATACCCAGCCCCCAGAATGGCTTTGAGAGCAGGCCCTCGGAATGGGTAAGAGCAAAATGACTGGGAGTAAAGAGCGGTGCGAGGTGTCGGCCTAAATGCTGCACCCCGCGCGGAGAACTGTGGGATTTCCTAACGAAGTCCGACACAGAGCTGCTCTGTGACCCAGCAGTCCCACACCTGGACATCTCTGGACAGACGGGTGGGTTGGACAATGGTGGGCACAAGTCAGTTTGGATGGGTGTATGGATGGATGGATGGATGGGCAGTCCTCGAGGGACAACGGATGGACGAGAGGTGGAAGGCTAAGTGTACAAATCTGCCCTCGGGAGGGCTCCAAGTGGCCAGCTGCAGACTCCGCCCTCCTTCCCGCCGACGCTCACCGGCCTTGAGCTTCTCCAGCTGTTTCCGCAGGCTCTGGTACCGGGCCTCGATCCGCTCGGCCTCGGTGCGCACGATGTCCACGCGCTTCTGTAGGGCAAGGCGCTGCTCCTCGTGCGGGTTCGGGCTCTCAGCGCGCACGCGCTCCTGGTACAAGGCCTCTCGGATCTGGGGGCGGGGGCGGGGCTGAGTGGGCGGGGCTGAGC